GGCGGATGTGGAAAGAGACCTGCTTGCCCAGACTCAGATAGTAAGGTATGCAGCCCAGGCCAGGTGAGCCGTGGCGAATAACCTTGTGGCAACCAGGCTTCCGAAAACACACCGCAGGGTTGAGAGGGCGAGAAGAGGAGAAAAAGGAGCAGGGATGGGATCTCAGGGTTTCGAGTTCAAATCCTCTTCCTCGAGAGCGGTTTCGACCAGGAGTTGGTGGGACGGGGTCAGCACCTGCCAGCGCCCCTGGAAAGTGGCTCCCGGGGGTGTTGAACTGGGAGCATGGGCCGAGAAGGGGGTGGGAACCAGGAAACTTGGAAGAGGAAGCAGGCCAGGTTTGGAATGTCCTCCTCCGAGCCAAGTGAAGCGCCTGGAAGTTGGGCAGCACAGCTTACACTCCGAGACTGTCTCACACGCTAGTAAAGATTAACACTGCCCTCAGACGACCTCACGGTGAGCTGTGGAAACAAGCATGGGGCGTGCCCAAGTTTCTGAAAGGAAGCATGCCACGGTGAACCCTGAAAGGCAGCCTTTCTTCTCAACTCACGGGCCCTGGCAGTAAAGTCAGGTCAGAACATGGCAGGGGTGATTTCCGTTCATGTCAAAGTAGGTCAGTAGCCTAGTTGCCAAAGTCTGCCTCAAAAACGACCAGGGATGTGTGCTTGGCTCCTCCTAGTCATTGCTCCAGTGGCGATAAACTTATCTTTCATTTTCTACCCAGAGCAGGACAGCACCTGTCTTCAAGGCCACCGCTCCAGGTGGCTTGGTTCAGCATAGCTGCCGTACCAAGCCTGGGTCCCCATGATCCTGGGGACTGTCCTTGACTCTCCTCCCTGCACCATCCCACAGATGGCCTGGATTAGAACCAGGCCTCCCACAGCTGTCCCGCTGCCTGTGGCTGACCATGTTATTGAGGAGGGCAGGGGTAACATACCTAAGATAGTAACCATCTCTATGAAGGCCACTTTAGCAAAGAACTCTGTACAGGCTGCCGTAAGCTATGAGGAAGAAAGTTTCCTGGACCAAGGATGTTAAATGCTTGCCGTGCAAGCATAAGGACCTGAATTCATCTCCCTACAAGCATGTTAAAAACACGATTTATGGGCTGGAGAGATGGCTCAGAGGTTAAGAGCATTGGCTATTCTTCCAAAGGTCATGAGTTCAATTCCAAGCAACCACATGGTGGCTCACAACCATCTATAATAAGATCTGGTGCCCTCTTCTGGTGTACATTCAAGAAGAATACTGTATAAATAATTAATAAATCATTAAAAACAAAAACAACCCAAACCTGATTTTCGCAGTCTCAGAGACAGGGAGGGACAGAGCCTGGGATCTAGGCCCAGCAAGGAACTATGACCTTAAAATGGGTGTAAAGTGCTGAAGGCTGCCCTTGGGCTCTGTACTCACACTCACATATCGATATATAGATACGTGCAGCTGTACGTATAGAACTTTTCTGGGAAAATATATCTCAGCAAGCCTACTGGCGTAGTCAGTTTCTGTTGAAGAGGTAACAGTCCGTAGCTTATCTCTCTCAGACTTCCTGGAGATGTACTTCTATTAAATGTGAACTACACTGTAAGCCTTCACTGACAGTGAAAGCTTTACATATTTACCTTCTGACTTAAAAAAACTATAGGCATTCATATTTTCATTCCTGTCATTTCACAGAAATCTGTCCTGTCTGAAGCATTAGACTTCTTATTTGAATCCTGTCTCTGTCAACAGAAAATATTACTATTTTATTTGTAGATGTTGTTGCTAAGCAGGCTCCTGCTTGATTGATAAACATTCCCCAATGTTTTATATACTTTTGGAGGTGGGGGTGTCTTTACAAATGTTATTTGTTTTTGTTTTTGTTTTTTCCTGCACTTTTAAACACTGCCTACTCGCCTCCTTATCCACGGAAGCCACGTGGAAGCCAGGCAGGGTGGACAGGCCAGCAGGATTTGTGTGTTGCAACATTTGGTCACTAGGACAATGGCTTGCTTCATCTCCACTCCCTGGCCTCCCTCTCAGCTGATGGCCCTTTTTGCAACTGCAGTGGCTTTTGTGAATGTCATTTTTCCCTTTCCAATTCCTCTTTAATACGAAGCCTGTCTTGTATGAATGTTTTCTTTTATTCAAAAGATTTCTATTGTTTGAAGTATTTTGTTAGCCGACCTCCTCTTGGATTGGCTTAATATACTCAGTGACTTCTAAAAAGCTTTAATTCTTTAGCTCTGTAAGCTTAATTACCTGATCAAACTCAGCAAATACTGTTTCTAAAATTTAAGTTCGAGGTTCAGCTAGCTCTCAGTTTTCCTATGTATTCCTAAGTTCTACCTAAATTGTAGCACATCTCGGGGATTCGTATAAAAGAAAGCTTGGGAGAGGGGGACAGGAGGAGGAAGCAGCAGTTAAGAGCACACAGTGCTCTTGCAGAAGACTCCATTTGAGTCTCAGCATCCACACCAGATGCCTCCCATGTGCATGTAACTTCTGTCCCAGGGGATCTGCCGCCCTCTTCTGGCCTTTAATAAGAACTGCACTCACATACACATGCCCACCCTCTTGAACATACACAGGCATTTACACACAAACACATATTGTAAAAAGAAAAATAAATACGAAGGAACTGTTGGGTCCTATGTCTAAAGAGGCTGAACTGCTGCTCTTTAAAGTCAGAGAAATGTCTTGAAGGGCCTGGGATGTTTCCATGCCCAGCCCTCCAGCGATCACCACAGCTATACCTCTTTGAGAAGAGAAATTGACCCTCTGCTGCTGATCAACTCTCACTCCTTATTTAAGTCACAAACAGTATGGCTTTTACATAGTAAAGTAAACTGGCTATTAAGGCAAAGACTGATTTTATTTACTGGCTGTACTTCTAAGTACCAGAAATGGGCAGCAGAAGCCAAGCTTAGAAATAGGGAAAATGAGCCACTGAAGGGAGCCAACACGGGTTTGGAAGGGAAGACAGCTTTATTGGCACGGGGTGCCTTTCTCACACTGTTTACTCTGAGTTCAGAAACGGAGGCGCAGGAGAGGCAGACTCCTCCACTACTAAAACTAATACAGACTCAGCAGGATGCACGTGGCCATAACTATGGAAATCTATGCACAGTCTTCCTATGAATAAATCTAGACCAACCTGAGCACTCAAGTCAGCATGCGTCAACAATGTAGTAGCCACATGATGATTCTGCTCTGTCAGGATGGAAAATACTCTGCTTTTTACCCTCTTTACCTGTCCTCGGTTGCACCTGAAAGTGAACCCCTGAAAAAATGAACTTTGAACCGTAGAGGCCACCATCAGAACAGTACCACCTGGGGAGGAGGCGGGCAGTTGGGTCAGAGTTGGGTTTGCGCTGTTGGGGTGGTGCGTGTTTGTTTAGTCTGTGCACTCTAGCGCGTTTGTTTTTAATTGCATGTCACCTGGAATGTGTTCTGGCAGCGTATATCGAGAGTCTGCGTACAGAAAGGAGGTGCTTAAATTGGCGTGGAGGGAAGCTGCCAGCTTCCGGTTGGAAGGAACTTGGGAGTTTCAGACATTTTCCTGGAGTCCCTGGGCCTGACGAGAATGTTCACGCTGTTGTGGCTTGGCCCTGTTGTGAGGTTGCTTGGTTTCATTTTAAACAGGTCTTACTGTGTAGCCCTAGCTGGCCAAAAGCTCCATAGGTAGACCAGGCTGGTTCCAAATTTAGGCTGATCGTCCTGCCTGTGCCTCCTGAGGACTGGGGTGTTTGCACGATCAATTCATAGGGTAATATATACTGTGAGTGGAAATATTGCTCAACAAACTGTGAACGTGGCCCAGCTTAAATGGTCTTTTTCCTTAATGAGGAACTATGAGACCCCCAACTATAAGACTGAGCAGAGTGCTTCAGGCTGTAACCTAGCTACTGGGGAGACTGGTGAGACAGAATCACAAGTTCAAGGCCAGCTTGAGATGCTATGGCAACCATGCCTTAAAATAAAATGGAGTGGGGGCCATCAGGAGTGAGTCAGCAATAGAGGGCTTGCCTGCTGTGTATGAAAACCTGGGTTCAGGCCCAGGACAAAAGATAGACAGACAGGCACTCTACCTGAGTGTTTTTCTTTTTACATAAAAGAACTTGAAACCTCTTCCTAAGAAACTTAGAATGAATGCTGCGTGTGTGTGTGTGTGTGTGTGTGTGTGTGTGTGTGTGTGTGTGTCTGTCTGTCTGTCTGTCTGTCTGTCTGTCTGTGGGTCTGGGTCTGTGTGTGAGGGGGCTAGGCTATTCTATATAGGCGTTCAACCAATGTTCCAAGGTTTATCAAACAGTGAAGTTCAAGTCCACATGCACTGGTTGAGCTCTTTTGGGAAGAAAACAGATGTGGATGGGATGATTCAAGGGCTTGTGACCAGTATTTGGGAATCAGAAAACAAACAGCTCACCATCGCTGTGTGTGTCACGGGTTTGGGCCACTGTGACAGAAGAGAGGAGAAACACCTGCTCAGGCTCAGCTGCACAGATGGGTCCTTGGGGAGGATGAGGACTCCTGAGAAAGGCCAGGCCACTTCAGGGTAGTGATCCCAGCTCTGAGGAGTATGTGAGAGCCTGGCAGAAACTGCAGCAATTGTTTAAAATACTTTTTTTTTTCATTTTCTCACGTTAATTTGTTTTTTTTTGTTTTTGTTTTTGTTTTTTACAATTGTGTCTATTTGCAAATGTCACAGCAAACCCCCATTCATTTGGGCAATAATTTAAAAAGTCGGGTTCTTTTTTGGTGTGTGTGTGTGTTTGTTTTCGAGACAGGGTTTCTCTGTGTCTAGCTTTGGCTGTTCTGGTTGTAGACCAGGCGGACCATGAATTCACAGAGATCTGCCTGCCTCTGCCTCCCCAAGTGCTGGGATCACAGAGGTGCGCTATCACACCCAGCTAATTTTAAGTTTGTAAGTGAATGGACCGATAAGTCTAATGATGGTAAAGAGAAAATTTAAGAGTCTGCTGGGTGACCTTCCGCTGCATGAATAGTGTGTGCTCTTCCAGGGAAAGAGAAACAGTGGCTTCCGACAGTGCTTCTTTGGGAGCCAGAAGCACTGCAAGTTGACAAAGCTGTGTCCAGCCATGGGCTACACGTTCAGGCTTGCTGCTCGCAATGACATCGGCACCAGGTATGGCGTCCCCTTTCCTTCTCACCCTTCAGCCTTCTGGCAGGCACTCCCATTGCCTGAAGGTCTGAGAGGCTGCCTCCACAGCAGGCGATTCTGAGAGGAAGTCCTGAGGAAGGAGGAGCCCTCTGAGGGACAGGCCACTCTGGTCTTTTCTCAGTCTCACAGCTGTGTTGTGAAACTCACTGAGGTCCCAGAGACCAAGGAGAAGGTAGCCATTGAGCTTTGTCTAGAAAAGGAAGCCTCCCTCTCCTCTGATCCCTTCCACCCCTATCCTAGCACCTATTCCTTGTTCTGTATGCCTTTTAACGGGCCCGTCCTGCAGATCTTTCTTCTTCATTTGTGTGACTGTTGCTGATACAAAGGGCTGCTGAGCGACCATTGTCATCACATCATAGAGCCAGGCACAGCCTAGGCTGCTTCAGCTGCAGCTGTCCCCAGGCTGCAGGCGGAAACCATTCCCAACCAAGGAGCCTGTTAATTAAGGGGCTTTGACAAAAGACCATGTCTCAGTTCTCGCTAGGCAACTCTTGATCAAGAGAGAAATCTTCTCCTTTCATGGTTGCATCTTGGAGACTAAGCCCTCCAGTGGCCCCAGCTGGGAGGACCTCAATGCAACATTAGAGTTCTTAGAACTGCCTCCCAGGGCCTGGAAACCAGTATAGCTGAAGAGTTTTCTGACTTGGAAATATAGGACTGATAAAGGCTTCTATGTGTCAGGAATTTTTAAATGAATTAGAAACACCTACAGACTTGGAGGAAAAAAAAAAAACTATTTGCAAAACAGAGTTACTTGTTGGTACCCAAATTTGCTTGAGGTCTCTTGGTAGCCTCTGTTCTTACCGCTATGTTTTTAAAGGAAATAAAATCGCAAGCCCACTCCCTTGTAACTTGGCATGCTTTTGTAAGTGCAGACTCTAGGGGCCCAATAGGACACTTGAAAACCCTGGTGGGTTTTCTGTTCTCTGTATAGGATCCTTTTCCACTGCACACCAGTGGGTCTGGGTAGAGGCACGCCATCCCTCTTTTAAAATGTCAGGACTCCTGACGCGGCCCTCAGATGTCTTCCGTGTTCATCTCTCGCAGTGGTTACAGCCAGGAGGTCGTGTGCTACACACTGGGGAACATCCCACAGATGCCGTCAGCACCCAGGCTCGTCCGGGCTGGCGTCACCTGGGTCACCCTCCAGTGGAACAGGCCAGAAGGCTGCTCGCCCGAGGAAGTGATCACCTACACCCTGGACATTCAGGAAGATGAGAACGTGAGTCCTGCGGGCTGCACACCTGAGAACATCGTGACCTCTTCCTAACCACCCACATCTAAGGCCACCCTTCATCTCCGCCACCGCCGTCCTCACTGCCCACCACAAACCTCTCTTCCCAAACTCAGCAAATGGTTGCTGGTCCTTTCAGCTGGAGTCATCCGCTGACCCCAGATACAGTCAACCAGCAAATCTGTCTTCTTTCAAAATCACCCCAAAATCTAACAAACTCTCACCCTTGCCACAGTTACAGTAATGTTAGGCCGAGCATTCCGCTTGTGCAATGCCCCTAACGTCACCTTGTTGCTTATACCGCTGTGCCCTGGCCCTTCTGGACTTGCGTTTCCTGTGCCCTCCTGCAGGAAGGTCTCGAAGATACCTTTCTCGCTTCCGTAGTTGCCTTTAGGTCTTCTCTCACATCTCCGCACATCGCCTCCTGGGACAGCCCCTCCCTGGCCACCTCTCTGTCACACTGAGAGCTCTGCAGTGGGGGAAGCTTCCTGTAGTCTATCCTGGACATGTGGCTGTGAGCATTTGAAATGCATCTGCTGGCCTAAGGAGCCGAGTTTTTAATTGATTAGCTTGGAATCCCAAGGGCCACGTGTGGCTACCGTACTTCAACCCCTGCTGCTGTGACAGCATCCTAGGGCCTCCAGCAGCCTGCCTCCTGCCTTCATATGCCCTCGCGGCTCACACCACCACACAGCATGCCTTCTGTTCGTGTGCAGGGTTTTCTCTCCTAAACTGCCTTCTTTAGCTGACTCGTAAGCAGCTTGCGGAACAGGCCGTGGATGTCATATAGCAGGGTGATTCTCTTGAGCCTGAGGGGAGCCTGGTGCACAGAGGGTTCCTTGGAGGGAAGGAGGGATGGACAGACAGACAGACAGAGGGACAGAGGGGGGCAAAAAGAATAGAGAACATTATGGAACGAATTCAGTGTATTCACCTGTAATGGTAAGGTATGCCCTTACCTTAAAAGAGTGTGCCCTTCCCCATCCACGCTGAACTTTCTCCCACAGCCAGAAGGGGGCACTGTGAGCTCAGGACCCTCACCGGTCCACTTGCAGGCCCTGTTGAAATGTGTCAGCCTCCTAATCAACAGGCTTTGCTCACTGTTGAAAAGCAGACTAAAACCCTGGATCCTTAGGAATCTGAGAGCCAGGTTTTATGATTCTGGTGACTCTTTCTGGCTTTGCCTTTTCAGGATAACCATTTCCACCCAAAATACACTGGAGAGGACCTCACCTGTACTGTGAAAAATCTCAAAAGAAGCACACAGTATAAATTCCGGGTGAGTCTTGAATGAGTGCTAACGCCAGCACTTCTGTGTTTTCCCACTTCGTTTCAAAACAGAATCTGCGGGCCAAAAAAAGTGCTAACATGGAGAGCGCCTTCAGAGTAGCACAGACACTACCTGGTGCCACTAGTCCCTGTTCTCAGTGGCCAGCCTTTTCATCACATTCTCTGGCTTTCCAGTGCCCTCTGCTCCTTCCTCTCCTGCTTCTATTTTTTCTCTCCTATTTCTCCCCCTTCCTCAACTTAGACCAGCGATTCTCAACCTTCCTGATTCTTCGACCCTTTAATACAGTTGCTCACATTGTGGTGACCCCAACCATAAGATTATTTTCATTGCTACTTCATTAACTATCATCTTGCTACTGTTAGGAATTATAAATATCTGTGTTTTCTGATGGACTTGGATGACCCCTCAGAAAGGGGTCATTCGACCCCAAAAGGGGTTGCAGCCCACAGGATGAGAACTGATGGCTTTGTTTATAAGCAGCCACAGCTGCACCAGTTTAAGCGACTGCTTTGCATTGCTCTCTCAATGCTTCCCCTACACAGCAGCGTTCTTCACTGGTCCTGTGTGTGGCACCCTATTTCCTCGTGTGCCCTGAGGTTTCTCCGCCCTCCCTTCTCTAATTTTAGGGTGAAGTAATCCTATTTGGCATGTAGTCACTTCAGCATTTGTCTGATTATCAAGCACAATGTTGTGACTGACTATTTGAGGAATATAATTGGTTTTGTGTGTGTGTGTGAGCGCGCTAAAAATACTGCCTGTTGGCTCCCAGAGCATAGTTGTACTGTTGATATTATCCACTAGGTGGCACTGTCTGCCGCGTCCATAAGTAGTTTTACCTACTTCATCCCTGTGTTTTCTTCTCATCAAACAACAGAGAATCGATGGAAACATACTGATTGTATATATACTACCAATAAAGCTCCCTCTTCCTCCTTCTTTGTTGAAACATGGTCTTACTCTGCATTCCAGGGTCCCCCGGAACTTGCTACTAACCTAGCATGGTTTTAAACTCACCACTAATCTAGGCTTATATTTCTATAGTAATACATTTAGCCAAAACTTCCCTTATGGTTTTCTTTTCAATTGTTAATAGCCAAATGTGCGCAGAAAAAGTGATCACAAACCCTTAGGTCAACAGTCTAAAGAAAACCTCCTGACCAGATGGAATGTTACAAAGTCACTCAATAGCCCTTAAGTAAAATGTGCTAATGTTTCCTTGGTTGTGCCACAGCTGACTGCTTCTAATATGGAAGGGAAGAGCTGTCCAAGTGAAGTCCTGGTTTGTACAACTAGTCCTGACAGACCTGGGCCTCCGACCAGACCCCTCATTAAAGGACCAGTCACGTGTCATGGCTTCAGTGTGAAGTGGGGTACGTCTCCTGCTCTGCTACTGCCATCTCTTTTTTTTTTTTTTTTTTTGACTATTTTCACTTCAGTAGTGACAAACCAAACACACACACACAGTGTCATCTGTGAGGGCATCATGCATTTGCTACGCATGTCTGAGAAGCAGCCTGAGGAATGGAGGAGGCAATGGGATTTTAGACTTTCAGAATTTTTGAATTTCAGACTTTAGTGGACAGTTTTAAGAGGATCTCATTTATTTCATGATTTTCTCACATTTTTCCTCCTTTGTTTTAAATGCATTGTTAATTTAGGTTTGAGAGTTTGTGATTAGATAATTCATTCTTTAAAGGCTCAGTTAAGGTTTTAATTAAATGTAATAGAAAAATATTTTAAAATTAATATAAATTTAGATGTTAAGTTTAGATATACATCTAATCCTAAGTAGATTTTTTTTTCCCAATATACAAAGTATTTAAGTTGCAGTAAAATAGAGCTTTTGTGACACTTGAAATTACATGTAAAGCTGTTAGGATATGTGTGCTCTGCATATAAGAATATGTGTAAACAGCCAGTGAAAGGCAAACAGAACAGTTTAGAGTTCTGAGGGTACCGTGTGCAGGTGCAGCTTAGAGCATGGGTCGTGGTTGGAGACCAAGCTCAGGCATGTTGCATCGAGTTGTCATGGAGCTCTGAGGCCTGGCTGCCTGGAGGACAAGTGCGGTTAAGAGAAAGTCAAGGAGTCTTGGCTGCTTATGGGTCCAGAGATCCCTGGGTTCCACCCTTGTTCTCCTTAGCTCTGTGCTATATCTGTCCTTACTGCTATTGCTGTAAATGTTACTATTGAGGTATGTGTGGCTACTGCAAAGACCTGGCAAACTGAGCTTCCTCAATCTGTGTAAGTTAAAGTCAAGGCCTTGGAAAGTCCCCTTTCTATTCAAGGATACAGAGACGGTGGCTACTGGCAGACATGAATTCTTCCCAATTTGGCAAAATTGTCCTGCCTGGTGTTTTCATACGCACAAACAAAGCTCTTGGAGGCAAAGATGTCTGGAGACTATTTTGGGGGGCCCTGGTAATAGACAGCCCTCCTCCCCAAGACTCTGGGTGCACACTCTGATCACAGCTTCTGTGCCGCCTCCAGTTCCTGGGACAGAAGTTTTGCTTGGTAGAAAAGTGAGGTGGAGTGAATTGATCCCATTCCATCATTTTATTTATTTTGTCGACGCATTTTTTTCTCTGCCCTTCTCATTTTTTTTTTCAAAAAAATCTAGCTGCTCATAAAATATAGGAAGTAAAAATAGTAAAACAAGATAAATACCTGAATATTTCCACTCTGCATAAAAATTGCCAGTTCTTACAGAGCCACTTCATAGTTCCTCAGTGTAATGTGTTTTAGGGAAGTCATTGTATGTGTCAAGTTCTGTGCATGTTTCGCTAAATAAGTGCATCCCATATTTCAACAGCCTTAAAAAGCAGCCTGATAAAATTCACAATTTCTTGCTGTTGAAAATTTAAGGGGCAGGGGTCATAAAAATAATGAGTTGTGCCCTTTGGTCCCATTCAGTTTGAAGGCCGTATCATGGATGCTCCTTCGCACTCTAGTGACGCTTACCAGTAATGTCCGGAGCTCTCCTCACTAACATTTCTCTGCTCTCCAGATGCTCCAAAGGACAACGGTGGCTCAGAAATCCTCAAGTATCTGCTGGAGATCACAGACGGAACTTCTGAAGGTGACACTTTGGAACCTGTTTTGCACAATGCACCCACAGCCCTGAGCCCCATCGTGATGGAGTCAGACCCATCACGGCAGCAGCAGCAGCAGCAGCAGCAACAGCAGCAGGCGGCTACTAGTTCTCTTGACAGAGCTAGCGTGGTTTAGCCATACCAGGCATTGCCATGCTTGCCTGCCTTCCTGTCTGTTTCTCTTCCCTCCTTCCCTCCCTGCTTCCTTTTCCTCCCTCCCTCCCTCTCACTTAGAGTTTGATGGTCAGTTAGCTTTCTCCCTCAGCAAGCTCTCTACACCAGGCCGTGCCCCTGAGTACAGTTTTCTCTTTCAGACACTACAGTTCATTCTGCTTGAAGTGTCCAGTTTTGACATGTTGGGGTGCTTTTTTTTTCTATTGTCTATGTCAATTTTGAACCATGGTCACTCACTAAATAGGGGGGGGGGAACTTGAGGCTTTCTCCTCTAACCTGCCACACTTTCTCTGGAAATCAGAAGCAGTATGTCAGGAACCTGGCATCCTTCCTGCGCCCAGGGACAGCCCACATGATAGTATGGCAGGTGACAAGGGTCAGACTTTCAGAACACATTTGGTCTCTGTTGTGACTCTCGGGTTAAAAGTTCTCACCAGTAGTTACCCTGCAAGGATTAAAATGGGGCCCTGGGGATTGCCACCAAGTCTAGCTGCCTGAGTTCAGTGCCTGAATCCCATGTGGAAATGGATAGAGAGAACCAGCTCCACAACCTTGTCCTCTGATACCCGCCCCCCACCCATGTGTGGGCGGTGACATGAGTGTGGGCAGGCCCCCTCACCGTGCCTACCATAGTAATGATTCAAGTGGACAGTGCAGAAACCAGCATCTTCAGGGCACCCAGAAATACTCTTGGTTTTTCTTCCTAATAAAACTCACTGGGCTTCAATGGAAAAAGATACAGTTGTCAAAACTTTGAAGCACAGCCTAATTTTACTAATTCGGCTGCTGTAATCATTACTCTTGTAAAGTATGCGTGCATGCGGCAGAAGGAAGTCACTGGGAACAAGTGGGGGTCATCTTTGGTTTGGCTTTTGTTCTGTACATCACAGCTAGCTGGAGCGGGGTTTTTGTTAGGAGAACTTTCTGAGATGGGAACAGCTAAAGGGCTCACTTGGTGTTTAACTTAAGGCTAGGAGACAAGTCAGCATCTCCCGGTGGCTTATTGAGAAAGTGCAAGTCTGCTTTGAGCCATCCTGGCCCTCCCAGGTACGAGTCAGCGCAAGAGCAGGCGCTGTTTTACACTGATGCCCTGGCCAGTACATGGAGGCCAGTCTTAGAATCCTTTCATCGGTCAGTGTCCCAGTTGTCCTTCAGCGTAGGGTGCCTGCCCATAACACAAGCACCCACTGTCTAAATTCCCAGATCCCCTGGGGCTGTAGCTAACTCTGACCTGATAAAGCACAGTGCCACAAAAGGCAGCGGAAAGGGGTCTGTGGCAGTTCCTTCCTAAGTAGAGCCCATGTAGTAGAAGGCTCCTGGGTAGTGGCCACTGGAAAGCCGCGTTAGTAGAAACTACATTGGTGGAAACAGAACAGAGAGATATCCCTGCAGCCTGATGATGGAGCTGGCAGCAGTGGCTCCTCCTGATGGGCATCAGCCTCCTGGGCACCCTCCAAGTGTTCGCCCATTGGTCTGTCACCACCACATGGTCATAAGATGTGGACAGCAGGCCTTTACCAAAAGGGACAGCTTGACTCACCACCGCGCTTAGCGGCACCCGGCCTTTCTGGAAGCCTGTACCATGTGCCCTGCACCCGCACAGCTGGCCCTGTGGCCTACCCACCATGGCGCCCCACAGCTGTGTGCCCTCCTCCTGTGCCAGCTTCCCTGCCATGTAGCCTTCCACACCCCGACCTCATAGTGTGACAGTGGTGAGAGGATTAAAAAAAAAAAAAAAAGACTGTTTTAGTGTCAGGTGACGCCAGGTTTTCATGGAAGCCCCACGTGGTGTTTTTGTCTCAGATACAGTTTCTAACAGGGACTATCGTGCTGTTACAAAAGGCTCAAACTTACGCACATCTCATTTTACAGCCAGTCAGTGGGAGGTGGCCTACAGTGGATCAGCTACGGAGTACGTCTTTACCCACTTGAAACCAGGCACTTTGTACAAACTGCGGGCATGCTGCATCAGCACCGGTGGGCACAGTCAGGTCGGTTTATCAGTGTGACGGTGGGCCTCTTGACCAAATTGGGAAGTGTCGTGTCAGGGACAGAACAGGTTGCAGTCTTACATGCACTCTGCAGCCTGCCTTAACATCACATCTGGATATGAAAAATAGTCCTTTGACCTCTACCTACAGGGCAGAAACAATAGGCACAGGTCGTCCCCGGCAACATTCTGATGTGCTCAGGCTGGGTACTCGCCACTGAGGCATCCCTTAGATGACTTTGCTGTTGTTACATGTGGGAGATGAAATTGGTTAGGCTTTGCGTTAACTAAATCAGGGAGACCTCAGGGGTTCATCCCTGCCTGGCTGTGCAGGGATGGTAGCAGTCTGGGAAGGCCCTCCACTGCCACCTGCTGGGAGACTGTGGCGTTATTTGCACTTCTGCCCAGCGTAGGATCTGCGGGCAGCAGCCATGGCTAGTCTCCATCAGCAGGACATGTCGAGCGCGGCATGTCGGGAGGATGTGTTTCTACCACACACGGTGCTCACAGGTTCAATGTAATCTAGTAAGTATATACAAGGTACTCTAGAACTGAGAATCTGGTGTCATAGTGACGTCATGAGAGAGGCACTGATAAAAGATGATTTGAAACCATTAATGATGAGGAAAGAAATAGAAATGGTACCTGTAACCCTTATTAAATATAACGCTTGCCCTTGTTAACATTTTCCTGAGCTTTACACATACACTCTGCCCATGTGTCATAGCAGTTCCTCAGTGTCTAGAGTTCAGTCTAGACAGACAGACATGTTTTCATGGGGGGGTACACACGCGCGCACACACACATACACACACACAGGGTAATAGTCCGGTGAGAATATTCTTATACAGTCTGCCAGAGTACCTGCTGGTTAGAGTATCTCCGGACCAAGGCCATGGAGCATTGCTGGTGCCCCCATGTGAGGGGTTGTGTAAGGCAGCATATATGTTACCTGAAGGGAGAGGGTCCATTTCCCGCATACCACTGCTCTGGAAGAACCGGGGCTGTCTGGCTCCACCTTGTTCCTCGATTCTTGTAAGATGGTCAGCTCTCATACCACCAGCCTTACACACTCAGATCCCACAGAAAGGAGGCCTTTAGCCCTTTAGCACTGACAGACTACGGTGAGAGTCAGGCTTGGTGGGTAAACCCCCCCCTTTGCCTGCTGCTCTGCTGTTTGTGTGGCTGGCCCGCCGTAGGGCAGCATTCTTAATTTCACCCAGCTGTTGTTTTGTGTTCTCTTGCATTCTCATGAAGGGTCTTTCTAATGGTGATGTAAAGAAAAGTAAGTGTGCTTAGAGGTCCGCAATCCTCAGCTCTAGTCGTCTCACCTCAGAGCTGATCCTGTTGTAAGCAGCATTGTATGCCGTGAGAGCACACACTCACACATGCAGACAGACACGAAGAACTTACTAGATGGCAGGCACAGGCGTCTAGTGTGGAATTCCCTTTTGGTCCCGTCTACTGTGGGATGGGATTAGCCTGGCAGGTATGGTGTGAGCAATGTACAGTAACTAAGCAATGGTCTCTCCGGTGTCTCTCCCACAGTGTTCTGAAAGTCTCCCTGTCCGCACACTAAGCCTTGCACCAGGTCAGTGCCGACCACCGAGGGTTTTGGGTAGACCAAAGCACAAAGAAGTCCACTTAGAGTGGGGTGAGTGAACAAGTCTTCCTCTTGGCATGGACCAGGACAATGGGAGGTTAAGACACAGTGCTTTGTCCCTCAGCTCCAAGGGCTTCCTCAGAGGTGGCGCTACCCGCTGTGGTGTCTGTGTTCTCCGTAGCCAGGGCGCCTTGGGTTTCTCCCGTCCCACAGCCTTGCACTGCTCATGCCCCCGTGTGCTGCCATGATGTTGCTACCCGCCCCTCGGAGGTCTCATTTCTAGAGAAGATTCCAGAGTGGCCTGCCCTGTCCGGGGATTGTTCAACACCTGAAGGAAACGTGAATGATTTAGAGATTAACCCAAGAAAGGGTAGTGTCAGATTCTCCATGTGCAGCCTCCCTTGGTGCCTTAGCTCGGCGGGTTCTGGGATTCTCATAGCATTGCCTTCCACTGGTTCCAGTTGGGCCGACAGCCTCCAGTGCGTGCATTGCACATACAGAGGTCTAGAACAGTAGCAGACAGATCGTTTGGCCGCCACTTATGACTAAAGTGTAATAAAATATTATGCCGGTTCACAGACATAGCAAGATGTCTGACTTTAAGTTAAAGTGAATTTTTCCTTCCCTTCTTCCTTCCCGTTACCCTATTGAAATATAAAAGTTTGCCCAATGCTCCTATTATTCCTGAGTTATTTTTAGCATAATCAAACATGTTTAAATGTATTTGCTTTGGATAGTTTAGATTACTCAGGAGCTTTTTCACGTTTTTGATTGGGAGGCTCCTTTTGTAATAGAAACTCAAGGACGCGCCCCTATGTATTTTGAAAAATGATGACACAAATAGACAATTAAGTGTAACTCAGTCAACAAGAAATCAAGAAAAAAATGGGGCCTGGAGAGATGGTTCCATGGTTAAGTTCACTTATTGCTCTCAAAGAGGGCCCAGGTTCGGTTCCCAGAATCCACATGGTGTCTCACAACCACCCACAGCTCCAGTTTCAGAGGTTTCAGTGCCCTCTTCCGGCCTCTGCACATGTTGTGCGCTTATACACCCGAATAAAAGTAAAATAAAATAAAATAAATTAAAAAAAAAAGTTCAAGATGAAAACCTTTTTCCACCCTCAGATGTCCCCGCCTCTGAAAGTGGCTGCGAGGTCTCCGAGTACAGTGTGGAGATGACAGAGCCGGAGGACGTGGCTTCTGAGGTGTACCATGGGCCCGAGCTGGAGTGCACTGTGGGGAACCTGCTTCCTGGAACTCTGTACCGATTCCGGGTGCGGGCTCTGAATGACGGCGGGGTGAGTATGAGCACAAGGCGCCTTCTTCAGCCCTCCTGCAGGTCCTCAGGAGGGTGTGCCCCACCATGGCAACCATTAAAGTGCATGTAGTAAAACCCTGTTTGCGAATCGATGCTGTCATGGTTTCCTGTAGGCCAGAACTGCAAAGTTTTTCAAGAGGTAGAATGTACGTGTGTGTGTGTGTGTGTGTGTGTGTGTGTTCAATACATGTATGTGTGTGTGCTTTTCATAATTCATGAAAGAATTTCCTGTTCTCTCGGTCATAAGAATTAGGGCTTTGTATCAATCCTAGTACAAGTTCTCTAGCGGAACTGGGCAGAATGAGTCAGGGAAGCCCTTGCCAAACACTGAGTTGGAGCCCTAAACCTACGTTCTAAAAGCTTAGGCATGGGGGAACCCACTCGTAATCTCAGCACTGGGAAGATAGAGCCAAGAGGCTCCCTGGGGCTTGCTGGCCGGCCAGTCTAGCCTGCTGAGTACAGTCCAGCCCTGCCTCAGAAAAGAGGTGGAAAGGGGCTGAGAAATAGAGGTGGTCCCTGTCCTCCACACTACACACATGTACATATACCTGTACACACATGAACGCTCACACACCCAAAAACATTATAGCATGGTGTCTGTGCCTTGGGTTGCTGTGTTCTAGACGAACAGGGTGAGACCTGAGGAGGAGGCCACGTACATGTTTTTTGTTTGATTCCTCTGAACACTCGACAAGTCTCCGGCTCTTTCTTCTGCTGTCTTATTCATCTGGAATGGAGGCGGGGGTGGGGGATCAGTCAGAAGTTGAGAGGATGTGTGTCTCTATTAGACCCACAGAGGGATTGTTCTTTTTTCTTTTTGAGGTGGCAGAGTGACATGGATTTTAAGGGATGTGCAGGAGGTTGGAAAGGGGGGGAGGGTGGCCCACAGAACAAGCTAATGACAAAATCTCCCAGCACCCCAGGGCTTTGTACAGACAGGTCCCCTGAAAATTGTTACATTTCACTAGTTGATGAAATTTATTTTAAAAAGAAGGCGGGGGGGGGGAGGCAATTAGCAATGCAAAGAGAAGACCTGTCATGTGAGGCCCAAGGACATTCTGAAGATATGTTACAGCAGCGTTGGTTTTCAAAATGGAAAAAAAAATACAACCAGCTGGGTGAGGTGGGCCCACCTGTAAATCCCAGCTCTCGGGAGACTGAGGCAGGAGCATCATGGATTCAAAGCTAACCTAGGCTACGTGCCAAGATCTTGTCTAAAGGGGGAGGGGCTACCACAGCCAGAACAAACATCCAGAATGTAATAACCAGTAATCCCATGTGACTTTTGTGCATTTAAAATGAAATTACTTTGTCTAGCTTTTTTCTTTTTTTTTTTTTTTTGACTGAGTGATATTTGCTTCTAATGTCACATTAAAGGAAAAACGTTCAATAAGCCAACTTTTTAATCCTTTTGAATAAAAGAAATAGACGTATATAACAGATGTTTACCTATCAGAGAAAGCAATAGTTTATCTATATGCTTCTTAAAGTAAAAAACATTAGGTCGTATTTTTATCCGGCTGTACTAATGATACCGTTGAGCTCGCCTTTAATGATAAGAGTTTGCATGCACATACCTGCAGATGCCATCCTGACATGCAAACGTGTGTCCTTCTTTGCAGTATGGCCCCTACTCCGATGTGTCAGAAATCACCACCGCGGCTGGGCCCCCTGGGCAGTGCAGAGCGCCATGCATTTCCTTCACACCAGATGGATGCGTCCTGGTGGGTTGGGAGGTGAGTCGGGTACGTGCTGCCCAGCAGTTTCTGTTCCTTCTGCCCTTACCCCCAAATACAAGCTGTAAGGATGCCACAGAGCCCATGTGTGCGTGCTTGCGTGCGTGCATGCTTGCGTGAATGAGTGCGTGCCTGTGGCTTTTTGGCTGTGCATATGCAAATCTCCCTTTGGCGGGTGATTGTATGGTTTCCAGTGTGGAAATGGCCAGAGTTGAGAGGCGGCTGGGTGTCACCCTCTTGCCTTTCCTTTATGGATATTGGACTACCCTGGAGCATGTCTTAGTAAAATGACCAACTACAGTTATCTGCCCTGCAGAGCCCTGAAAGCCCCGGTACTGACATCTCTGAGTACAGGTTGGAATGGGGAGAAGATGAAGAATCCTTAGAACTCGTTTATCATGGTCCAGACACCTGCTTTGAGATACGAGATCTGTTGCCTGCTGCCCAGTATTGCTGCAGACTACAGGTAGGTGACTATTCAGGCTCTGCTCCTAAAGACAGCTATTCATTGAACCGTACCTCAGAAAAGCAGCCGAAGGCTATGGGCGAGGAATCACCAGGAAAAAAACATCCTCTTCAGGGCTAGAGAGTTAGCTCCCAGGGAACAGTACTCATTACACAGACATGAAGACATGAATTCAGACTCCCGGCAGACACATAACATCCGGGTCCTATGGTAATCGTCTGTAATCCCAGCATTACTGGGTGGATAGGGTAGGTACAGGCAGGTTCCAGAGAGCTTGTTGGGTAACCAGTAGCCAAAATGATGAGATCCACTTTCAGTGAAAGTCTGTCTCAGAAAATGAAATGGAGAACAGAGGAAGAGACACCTGACGTTGACCTCCATGGGTATACACACACACACACACACACACACATGCACGCACACACAGCGGGCACATCAGCCCATACACACAACTCCACACACACACAGGTGCCGGCTTTGGTATTTTACAGTTGAGTTCTTCTTCTCTAGGAGGTCATAACACATATGAGCAAAGCCAGGCTCTTCTCTGCTCTTGTGAGTAGCAGCATGTTCCATCGGTTTTCCAGAGCCCTGGAAAGTGACTAGGGGAAGGTCTCCCAATTCCTTAGGAAAGACGCAGTCTATTTCCTCTTCTGTGGGAAGCAGCTTGGAACTGGCTGCTTTATATATTTATATATCAGCTATTAAACTGCTCTAAAAACACAAAAGCAAATATTTCAATCAGTTGCTGTCTTGGTTTCTTTTCTGTTCCTATGACAGAGTACTCTAATGAAAGCAACTAATTTAAAAAAAGTTTTTTTAAAGCCAATGTGAGGGAGAAAGGATTTATTCTGGCTCACAGTTTGAAGGCACAGTGACCGCAGCGTAGCTGGCAGTGAAGGACCTTGAAGCCGCTCGTATCACATCCAGTCAGAGCAGATGGTGATGGATGTGAGCTGAAGCTCAGTTCCCACTCTCCCTCGAACGGTCTAGGATCGTAACCAAGAGAGAGTACCACCTAGGCCTTCCCACCTCCCTGACATAAAGCCAGACAGGCCCCCCCCGTGGCCATTTCCCAGGGGACACCTCACCCTAACCATCGTATCAAGACCACACAAGGCTGCTTCCCTTTAAGCTTCTGCTTGGGAGCGCAAACAGTAGCATCGGGAACCCTGTTTCACACAGATTTCTGTTACTTTATTAAATTGGGTTCCCGCTTTATAAACTCTCGTGTCCTGAGACTCTGGAAAGTCCTTTGTCTCCATTTCCTCCCATTTATTCAACAGTGGTCTCTGGATAGGAGAGAGAGAGAAGATCCACCAGCTGAGGCAGCTTGTCTTCGAGTACATTGGATTTCAGTAGATAAAAAGGCTAAGATAGTATGCTTAGGGGCCAGCCTGTGTTCAGCCCTGCAGCAAGTGGTGTGGTAGAGGCCCACTTAACTTCCTCAGTACAGAGATATTCCCTTCACGGATTAGCCAAAGCTTTTCCCCTTGAGGCTGCTTCACCTTAAACATTTCTCATTAAATGCCAACATTGGACGGCACCCTTCGTTCCTTTATGAATGGACCACCCATGGTGTCATTAGCCCTTTGTCAGTGAATCATGGCACATTATCTGATCATTGTGTCAGGGAGAATGCATCACCGGAAAAGGGTACACTGAGTGCCTCATTGCTTTTGGAACAGGGCCGGATTCTAATACAGAGCTGTTTGTGGTCCGGTCAGAGCTCCCTGCCCTCTGCTTTCAGAGCTTTGCTGTCTTGTTAATGTCTGCCGCTTCCCTTTTTCCTGTAGGATTCACATAGTCACTCAGTATTGCCGCCCCCCTTCCAAACTGTGTTTTAAAAGACACAGTGATCACAATAGAAGCTGCACAGTGATAGCCCTGCCTCTGTGTCAGCAGGGGGTAGAAAATGTTTGTAGATGGCTGTGCCTGTCATAAAATGAATCAGACCCTCTGGCATCAGCTTAGCAAACGCTGCCAGGAACAAGTCTGTCCCACCATTACTGACTTCTTGGTACCTGTGGACTACATAGAAATTCCAAGTTGCAGCCATTTGGCATTATTTGTGGTTAAGCAAACCCTGAATGTTCTTTTGAATATTTAACATTCCAAAAAGAAATCATTTTAATAACCATACTCTTTTCTAAAAGGTGGTTTAAACATTTCTTGTTTTGCTCAGGAATTTTTCTCTTGTTCCTTGGGGGTGTTTTAATTAAGAAGTGTCATAGGTCAAAGGTAGAAATACTCCTGCCAGGCCTTGGGTTCAATCCCTGGCCACCAACAAACATGCACATACAGGGAAAAAAAAAAATCAAAGTATTCATAAGAGGGATTTGTACATAATGACTGTAGGATTGCTTAGTAAATGATTGATTGTTTTATTGCTTATAAGTTTCCTTTGAAAATTTGAATTAGAAGTGTGTAAATCAAGATTTTTTTTTTTTACACAGGCAAGCCTGAGAAGGGAAGTGGGAAAGTGGGGCAGTGGACAGAACCCTGGGATGGAAAAAGAACATTGGTGGGAAATGTGGGGAGTTTTGAATTAGGTCTTGTGTGGTTCATAGGACTGTACCAATGATACTTTCTGGGTTGTATTTGCTTAAGTTTTTTTATCTTTTTAAATTCTGTGTATTTTTATTTCATACACAAGTCTGTGTACCACATGCACGCAACACCCACAGAGGCATGAAGAGGGCCTATAGTTACAAACAGCTGTGAACTGCCCCTCGGGTCCTGGCAATGGAGCCCAGGTCCTCTGCAAGCGCAGTCCATGCACTTAACCACTGAGCCATCTCTCTAGCCCCAGCTGCCTGGTTTTATCGTTCTTCTCGGTCGTGTGAGATTCGGGTGTTAGGGGAAGCATGGTGAGAGCTGTGTGAACTTCAGGTTCAGCCCTCAGTGCTGCAAAAGAACAGAAGATAATTAGATCTCAAAATCTAGATGCTTAAGAGAATTTGTTAAGTTCAGATTCTTGAGGAAAAGGCTAAGGGGTTGTGATGAAACCATAGTGTCTCAGAACTTTATCATATAGCTTCAGTGGGGATTCATGGACGCAAACGTCCGTTGCCTGTCTCTTGTTTTTAGAGTTTTGTTGATGTTTAATTAACAAACAGAGGAATTATAAGCTTTGTTTTAGAAACTCAAATTTGCCTCTAATTTTTGCAGTTTGTGCTGATACATTCTCAGGACTAAATGGGAACTGACTTTCATCACTTTCTTTTGACAAAATTATTTCATGTTTTCTGTGTTTAAGTGCTTTTTGCCTGTCTGTGTAAGTGCATCACATACATGCAGAGCCTGCAGAGGCCCGTAGGAGTCATCAGAGCTCCTGAAACTAGAGTAACAGGCAGTTGTGGGTGCTGCGAATCAAACCTTGCTCCCCTGGAAAAGCAGCCAGTACTGTCAACCACAATGCTATCTCTCCAACCCTGGTTTCTTACTGATATAAGAAAGCTGCCAAATATTTTTATTCTTTGGAAGAGAAAAATAGTTTTATAATGCTTATGGATCATGTCTTCCAAGTCGGGTTCTGTTCGAGTTGTCAAAGATGTTATTGTGAACCAGGCATGCAAATAACTAAACTCTATGTCAGTGATAAGTGTCACGATGAAATATAAAATGAAGATGGAAGATCATAGAGGTTGGGATAAGAAGTGATTATAAGTTGAAATGGGACGCTCAGTAAGAATTCACAGAGAAGGTCTGAGATGAGCAGTGTTGGGTAGAAAGGCCTCTGGCCGTAAGAAGCAAGGGCACAGGTCCAGAATAGCACATCAAGCTATGCTTGATGTCTGAGAAGCACACCAAGGAGCCAGCAGAGCCAATGAAAGCAAGAACAGTAACAATGAAGACCGAGTGCTGTTGGGTTTTTTTGAAGTGCAGTGATGAGCATCAAGGAGGATCTCTGTATGCTTCTGTAAGAAGCACAGTTCCGAGTAAGGTGGAGGCCTCAGAGGCCGGCACACTGAGAGTCCTGGCTCATGGCTGGAGAGGGCGCTCAGTAGGTAAAAGCACACGCTGACCTTCCAGAGGACCCACCTGCCATTCTCAGCACCCATGTCCGGTTGTTCACAGCCACCTGTAACTCACTTCCAGCTGGGAACCAACGCCCACCTCTGGCCACCATGGTTACCTGGGCACACGTAACATATACTCAGACACATACCTATAAATAGAAATAAAACTTAAAAACAAAGTAAGTCCTGACTTGTAAATTATGATGCTCTTCGAATCTCTCTGTGAGTACAGACTCTAGGGCAGAGTTGGTGCAAATACCAGTGAGGGTCATCTCATCGCCTAGAGAGCATGTAGTTGAGTTAGGGTGACTTCAGATAGTCTGACTGGCAGGACCTGGGTGTGAGTGAGAAACAGGAATCCCGGGAACTCTGGATTACAGCCTCAGCAGCCTGGAGGATGAGGAGGATGACAGGAGATGTGGGTCTTAAAGGAGGAGTGGGGAGGGATGGAGGAGTCTGGGATGCCTCCTGGATGTACAGAACAGGTGCTCCCAAGCAGCAGGATACACATATGCCACCGTGGAGATCAGGGCAGAGGTGGAGAGCAGTTAAGGATGACCTCTGACCTCCACATGCAAATGCGTGTACACACGGGCACACACGGAACAAAACAAAACAAAACACGGTAGCATTCGCTAATGTGGAGGTCCTAGCATGTGCTGATGGCGTGGCGTGATTTGGCCACACTCTTCTCTTTCCAGGCCTTGAATCCAGCAGGCGCAGGGCCGTTCAGCGAGCTCGTCCATTGCCAGACACCAGCGTCTGCCCCCGACCCCGTCTCCGCCCTGTGTGTCCTGGAGGAGGAGCCCCACGGGACTCTGGACTCTCCCTCTGTGTGCCTTGCACTGAACTGGGAAGAGCCATGCAATAATGGAGCTGAGATCGTTGCTTACAACATCGATCTCGGAGACACTAGCGTTACCGTGGGCAACACCACCACACACGTGATAAAGGACCTCCTTCCAGAGACTACGTACCGGTGAGTGTGAAAACCTGGTGTCGAAACCTGGGCCACACTGCGCGTTCCCAGGCTGGAAATCCTTCCTGAGTTACTGCATTGTCACCATTCCTTTCACATTTATAAGTACTAAATGAAGTGTAGTTTGAAAGCTTGTATTGCTTTTTACGTACAGTAAGTGACAATTTTCCATAATTCCTAGCTTCTGAGGGAGAATTTTACCTCTCACACTTGAAATCGCTTTCCCCTTCCGTGCCCTTGGTCTTCCTTTTTTCTTCATATATTTTCACTGTGATTCATCTCACTGCATACTCCATCTGTGCCCCAAAGCTGACAACCTCAGAGCAAGAGCCGCTCATCGTACAGACTCCCCCAGAGGAGACACAGAGGTTGCAGGACATCTGTGACAGACATTTCCTTCAGGACTCTACAGTGGGACAGAGAAAAGTGACATCCCATGCCACCATGGAAGCTCAGCTAACAGGGGTGATCTCTTCAGCCTCAGAGATCCTCACCTGGGACCCCTCCCCCCTGCCCACACCTGTTTCTCCTACCTGGCTCTCCAGACTTTCAAAGCACGGAGCTGTCTCTCCAAGTCCCCATAACCCAGACAAAGCCTGCAGCCAGCAGGACAGCTCACTGAGAGAGACCCAAAAGAGCATCTCTTGATTCTCCAGTGCAATCCAACGGGGCTCCGGCTTTCAGTGTGTGCATCAGTGTGTGCACGGATTCTTGGGTTGGGGTAACATCAGCTCCGGCTCAGGTACCGTCGTCTTCAGACCTGGTATTCTCCTCTTTCCCTGTAAGAAGAGGAAAACAAGGTGATTTTTCAGGCAGGTGTCTAGTAAGGAGTAAATGAGTGAGTGGTACTGGCTTACAATTGAGCCAACAGTGCCAGCAGGTTTCCAACAGTCCACTCCCGTCCAAGGCCTTTCCAACAAAGCCTGTGCCTCCTGAGGGCTGGGGATGGTGAAAGGCAAGCAGACCGGATCGCTGCTCTATAAAATATGGCATTTCCTTTATGATTTCTGCAGTGCTTTCTCATTTTCTAATCTGAGTGTGTGTTTGCGTGTGCCTGTGTTTGTGTGCACATGCATGCACGCACGCACATGTGGTATTCTTGTATGTGTATATGTGTGTGTGTGCATGCACACACATGTGGGTCCATTTATGTGTACCATGTGCGTGCAGTGTCCAAGTATCCTCTGGGCTTTTAGACAGTTGTAACCCTCCATGTAGGTGCTAAGAATTGAACCTGGGTCCTCTGGAAGAGCAGCCAGTGCTCTTAACCACTAAGCCATCCTTCCTGCCCTCTTTGGTCTGTCTGTTTGTGTAATGTAGGAGTTACACAATGTTCTCACTGGACTAGATGTATGTCTGTAGTAAATCTGCTGGAACAGAAAGGGGAGTTTCAACAGGTCCATCTTTTCCCATCGGTGCTGTCAGAGCTATCCGTTACAGGTTTGTTGGCACAACCTGTATTTGAAATTTGACTGAAATTAAAAAGCCATTTTTAAAAGTATTACATCTAAGTCTAGAACTCTATCTGAAATTGAATTTGTGTTTTGGATCAAAGGGAAAAATGGAAACAGCTTTCCTCTGAACATCCCCTGCCAAGTACAGTCACAGACGGTAAGCTGAGAGAGGCTTGGGTCACCTGTATCATCCTGTCCTAGACCTGAGAGCTCCATGGCCAGGGCAGTGGTCCAGCTTTGGCTCTCCAAACAGTTCAGAGCATCCCTTGAACTTTATCAAAACCTCTCTGTCCCTGAAGCCACTTCTTTTGGCCCTGGGCCATTTGAGCAGTATTCTCAGAGTACCTTCTCAGGGGTACTAAAGACTTACCTGAGAGTGGGCAAAGGGTCAGGCCTCACCCCAAGCCTGGGAAATAAGCAAGATGACCCAAGCTCAGAAAAATACAAAAAGACACCCTCGCTGTGTGTGCACCTTCGCTTCTAATTTTTATCTGGAAGTGAATGGGTAGATACCAGCATGTTAGCAAGGGGTCCATGATAAAGGGAGAAAGAAGGATTTTAGGAGGGAAATAGAACAGAACACATGATAAAAGTGAAAAAGGAAGATGCTGGGAATACCAAAGTTTGGGCGAGAGAGACAGAGTCAGGAGACAGGGTCAAGCAAAAGTATGTGTATATGAAAATGTCATGGCGAGCCTGCTACTTTGCAGGCAAAGAAGATTAAGTTAGGCATGGCAGCACATGCCTTCCATCCCCATAGTCTAGAGGAAGAGACAAGTGGATCTCTGTGACTTGGAGGCCAGCCTGATAGCAAGCTGCAGGCCAGCCAGGGCTACCCCATGAGCCTGCCTAAAACAAACAAACAAACAAGTAAAAGTAAGACTGTTGCCGAAGAAATGGCTCAGCAGTTAACAGCATATACTACTCTTGCAAAGGACGTAAGTGTGGTTCGTGTACCCACATCAGGTGGCTCACACCCATCTGTCCTATATAATCCAGCTTTAGAGGACCCAGTGCCCTCTTCCGCACTCTGCAGGCACCCACAGACGTATGGCATACACACGTAGACACATAAGTTAGCAAGTATATTTATAACAGTAAAAAGAACTGTCAGTAAAGCTTAGCGACAGCAGTAGGGCTCAGCAGGTAAAGAGGTCTGCTGCCACAGCTGCTGGCCTGAGCCCAACCCCCAGAACTGACGTGGGGGAAGGGAACTGACTATACTTACTCTGACCTCTACCCTAGCATGTTTGCAAACACACATACACACACACACACACATACACACACACACACACACACACACACACACACACACACACACACACATATTCTTAAAGGTAAGAATTCTTTAGATAAAAAATTTACAAGGAAAGAGAAATGTGCCTTAGTCGTGAAGCTTGGCCCTGAGATGGAACTCCATCGTCTAGAGCCTGCGTGGTAAGTGACATTGTTGTCATTTTCCCATGTGCACTGAGGCAGTAGAGGTAGAAGCAGATTTGAAACTAAAATGCAAACTCCTTTCTTCCACGTACAGAGACTTTCCTGTTGTACAAACTACGACCCCAGGACCCATGGCTGGTTGTTGGTGGGTCACAGGTAAAACGTGGTGGCCGTTATTATTGAAAGCAATGTCCTGTTAAAAAAATAAAACCGTGCAGGGTGGTGAACTCTATTCTACTTAGCCTTCCATGAGAAGCATGTTGAAGCGTGAAACCCTCTGACCCGGAGTGTCAGCACACAAGCAGGTTGAGAGTATAGGTGTCTGAGCTATGCTTTGGGGGACCATGGCTTAGTGGGTCCTGTCGGGGAGTTTCGTCACCGATCATCCCACTCTTGCCTAGCGTGACTTCCTCATGGCGTCCTTCATCATCCTCTCCAGCAGTCTGCCTCCTGGCAGCCTGTGTTTGGTGGCCTTGGGGGGGGGGGGGGAAGAGTCCATCCTGAACTGAGTGAGGTCACCTAAGATCACAACCTCATTCTGTGTCTGACTCACACAGAGCTGCTCAACAACGAAAAATTAAAATAGCTTTGTTTGTTACACTCACTTAAGCCCACTTTAGCTAAGTAAAAGAGGGGTGAAAATGACGTTTATTGAGTTCTTACTATGTAATAAGCACCCTGCTCGCTGCTGAAATGAATCATAAGCCACTTGGCCATAATGAAATGCGACCAGTTTGGAGGAAGAGCCAAGTTCTGAACCGTTAATTAGCCTTAGTTCCTCACTTACGTCTCTGCCACCCGTGGAAGTAACTTAGACTCTCCATGCCTCTGTTGCCTCACCTGTGAAATGGGCTGCAACTGCCAATCACCTGGCAGGGCTGCCTGGGCTAGGTGGGGCTTCAGCTACCTCCGTGGTTGGGTTAGACACAGATGCATACAGTAGATTACTGGCTGTTCTTGGGTTTGGAGGGAAGGAAGAGAGCCAGGAATCAGGTACTTATGATGTTATGGGTTGGCCTGTCTGAAGGTGGGCCCATGACATTGTGGTTACACAGGAAGGGCTTAGCCTAAGCAGGCCCAGCTTCTATTCAAGAGAGACCTCCCCAGGCAGTTCTCTCTGCGTTCATTTTTCCTCGCAGTAGGAACTTTGTGTATTTACTGTGTTGTCCCTTTTCAGTAGGTTCTCTCTAGCCATAGTAGGTGGTAGGGGAGAGCAAGCTTCTCCTGAGGAGCCTACCTGTCCTTTCATCTGGGGTCTGTACCACCCCAGGCTTCCACGGCCCTGACCTCAGTCACCCCATGCTGTTCACAGCAGCATGAGGTCTGAGTGGCTCACTGTGAAGGACAGTCACCTTCTCCCTGAAGGACAATTTGTTTGGAACGTCATTCTTCTTTTAATATAGTTCCTATCGGAAGTTTGACTGTGTGCACTTAGAGTACGTGCTGGAAGGCTGCGTGACCTTCTGAAGCAAGAACACATTTGGCATCTAGAAGGAGGATACTGTAATGGTGGATTTTCAATCCAAGCTGAAAGGCATGCTTCTTAATTTAACTTCATCGGTAGTATTAGCATACTGATGAATATTACAGACTTGTGGAAAGTTAAATTTTTTTTCACAGTAATCTGGCCAAGATGCTGTTGGCTCAGGATTACATCACTGTCTTAAGTTGGAAACAATATTCTGCTTCCCTGATATTTCAGTTAAATTCCTTTAAATTTCAAAAACTGACATAATGCACATTTTTTAAGATAAATCTGTAGATCCTACCTCAGTTTCAGGGTTAACCTGTTACTTCAGCTTAAGATTTTGGATAGAACTTAGTAATTTAATGAAACAGCTTCTTTTTCTTCTTTATTCTCTGAAGTGAATTCCTAGTTGTTATCCAGGTTAGTGTGTTCTGTTCACTGTTCTCTCACAGGAACTTAGAAATTGGAAATTATTTCCCTGTCCCTCAAAACACTGTGGTAGATACCTTAGTCTTTCCCAGCCTCCTCTGCTCTACAGCCAGCATCTTCCCTAGAGAATAAGACAGCTTCATTTTATTAGCTCCTCAGCTTGATTTCAACATCAAGGGTCATTAGGACTAATTAATGTTAGCTCAATGCATCGGTGACAGAGGAAGTTGTTTTCTCTGAGACAGTATATTTTGTAAAGGTGTAGGACAGTCAGAGCGAGAGTTCTCCAGTCTAGGTCGGTGGTTTCAGGAACAAATGCTGAATAAAGTGAAAATGAACTTGCTGGCTCTTACTGACTTGACTGTGTGGTTTAAATAAAAATTATCCCTTGATTGGATTCATAACCATGTTAGGTCCAAATTTCGACAAGAAAATATGGAGTGCCAGCCTGCAGGAAGAGGCTGAGCCAAAAGGGACCCAGGGCACACCCACATCTGACATATGCCACATGCAGGTTGGAGTGAGTCACTGAGCTCCAGGCCCCTCCATTGTCAGATGGACAAAGGTTCTGGCCTTGTGGTTAGAAATGAGACATGGCATTCTGATATGAAGGCCGTGCCTCTGCTCTTGAAACCACTGTGTCAAGAACTCTGTAGAGCATCATTTTGGAGTCCATCAGCACGCGTTGAATCCCTTTCTCATTGAAAGAGACTTAAACCTATTGAAAATTAAAAGTATGCCCCATTTAATCTGTTTGTCAGTTCAGCAAAGGTGGCGCCATCCTCATTTTATCGATGGGAAACTGCTGCTTAAAGGTGTTATGTGACTTCTAACGAGCCTGCGAAAGGATGCGCAGGATTTTCAAAGAGGCTGTGTCACCACAGTATCCTTGCCCACATCGGTGGCTGATGCTATGTTATGCTAGAGAGCCATAGGCCTAGAGAGGTTAAGAGCCCAGCTCTCACCAAAATACCATAGAGCAGTGGCTCTGCAATACAGTTCCTCATGTTGTAGTGACCCAGCCATAGCATTGTTTTCGTTGCTCCTTCGTAACTATGATGTTTCTACTACTATGAATCATAATTAAATATCTGATATTCGACCCCTGTGAAAGGGTCAGTTCACCCCAAAAGGGTCACACCCCACAGGTTGAAAACCTCTGCCCTAGAGGCTTTGGGGACATAGTGAACTGAATTAAACTATCTAAAACTTGAATTTCTAAAAAATTGTTAAATGACTCCATCTCTGAGGTTTTGTTTCACTTCGTCTTGTGTTGCTGAGCACAGCAGAGCTTCATTAGTCCTAAGCAACCCAGTGGCCTCCTTCTTTTGTGTGTTGAGGACTGCTCGCTGGTCTGCATAGAGCACAGACAGGATAAAGGGCCTCCTGGGACACAAGATGAGCTGGGCTCTGAAGGACTGTGGGCCAGCAGTGGCAGGAAACGTCTTGGCCTGGGGCTGTAGAGGTACCAGGTCTTAAGTGAAGGGAAGAAATTCTGGCTTAGACACTGCAAAGACTTTCAAATAAACCATGTAGGTGAAGACGCTGGTTGCGCCATTCACAAAGACCTAGATTTAACATCTGGCTTCTCTTTTCCTGAGATATTAAATCTCTCTCCTCTCTTCCCCTCCCCTCCCCTCCCTTTCTCCCTCTCTCCTTCTTCTCCACTTCCTCTTCCTCCTCCTCCCTACCTCTCCTCTCTTCTCTCTTCTCCTCTTCTCTCTCTTCCTCCCTCTCTGCTTCTTCTCCACTTCCTCTTCCTCTTCTCCTCCCTACCTCTCCCCAGTGTATATGTAGATGGATGATAGACGGATAGAGAAAATTGAGAGAGATTGAGAAAGGATGTATAGTATGTGTCCTTCTGGGACTCTACCCTGAAGTATATCTTCCACCTTCCTTTTGAGCTCTCAGGGGCTCACTATATATTCTGGACACAAAATCTTTGTCAGATATCCAATATGGAATTTTCTCTCCCAGTCTCTAGCTTGCCTTCAACCTCTTAGCATGGAAAACAGCTTAAAAAAAAAAAAACAAAAACAAAAACAAAAACACAGCTTTCTTATTTTCTTGTCACACACATGACATTCATGTCACATATGAAAAATTTTCTTAGTTCTAGGTAATGGAAATGTTCCCTTGTGGTTTTTTTTTTCCCTAAAAGTTTTATATTCTACATTTAGATCTTAGGTCAGAGTTTGAGCGAGGTTGTTTTGTTTTTTGTTTTTATCGGTGTGACATTTAAGTTGGCTTTTTTCCTGTTCCTATCCAGTTGCTCCCAGAACCATTTGTTGAGAAGACTATCCTTCCTCCATTGAGTTGCCTTCACACCTTTGCCAAAAATCCATTAGCCATATCTGTGTAGGTCTATTTCTGGAGCCTCTACTCTATTCCATTGATCTACAAGTCCATCTCTTTCCTTCACTGTCTTCATTACTGTAGCCTTATAGGAAGTCCTAAATTTAGGTGGCACTATTCTTCCACACTTACTCTGTTTTTCACATTTGTGTTGGCTAGGTTACTTCCTTTCCATATAACATTTAGAATTAGCTTGTCTTTATCTCCCAAGAGCCCTGCCAGGACTTTTTAATTTATTTTTTATGTATTTATTTAGTTTTGGAGACAAGGCCTTACACTGTAGCCCAGGCTGTCCTTGAGTGCTGCATCCTCCTGCTTCAGCTTCCCAAATGCCGGGATTGATTTTAATTACATTGTGTCTATAAGTCAGTTCTGGGAGAGCTGATACTGTGAATCCCCCTTCTGTAACTGTTCTCTGTATCTCTGTTTGACTAGGTTCTCTGTACTATTTTCATCAGCATCTTGGGGATTTCATTTTTTCCCCTAGCTCTGTAAACCTTTTGTTCCCGGTGCTGGCTGGTTTTCCTAACGAATGCTGCTCAATAGGAAGCTGAGAGCACCAGGTACCTTTGCTGTGGTCTGGCCTTGCTGCTCCTGCTCCCAGTCTTAAAGGGAAAGTATGTCCTCTGTCACTGCTGTCCTGGTAGCTGTGAACCTTTTCGTTACAGTTCCCTTTTCAGATCAAAGAGGCTCTGTCCTCGTAGTTTGCAGAGCATTTTGATTGCAAGTAGAGATTGCATGGTGTTAGATACTTTATCATTTGATATGAGCATCTGCTTTTCTTCTGTAGGCTGTATGCAGGGTAGGGTTGCTTCAGGCCTGAGGAATGGGGGGGGGGGCAGTGGAGAAGGGAGATTCGCCACCCCATTCAGAGCCATACACACCCTGGAAACTGGCCTTTGCAGCCCCTTCCACATGGAGGCCCACTTCTAAACTTAGGGGAAAACAAAACCTCACTGTTGGTTTGTGAGAAATCCACCTCGACTTCCTTACATCAGCCAGCTTGTTCTTACTTCTCAGAGTCCTGAAGGAGCTGTGTCCTTTTCCTCAAAAGGAATAAGAAGTGTGGAGAGTTATCCTTTGTCCCATGCAGAAGTAGCCTTTCTCTTTTAATAGTTACAGTTACTTAAGGTTTAAAGACTTTGGCTCACGTGTTATGTTTCAGCAGTTTGATACTTAGGTGGTACTTTCTGTTTAATCATAAGCAATAAAAGCTGTAAGTGAAAAAATACCCAAAAATAACTAAATCATAGAAATATGTAAAAATTATCTGCTCTAAATATTTCACCTTGGGCTCTATTATTCACTATAATCTGAATTGAAAAACTATGTTGTGAATTCAAATCAAGTTTATATGTTGAAACTCTGAGCTGTTAACGCCCTTCTCAGTCAACTCATTGATCTTGACTTCAGATTCCTGTGACCCTGGCAAGGAACAGGAGAGAAGGGGGCACTGAAGGGCTGCAAGGGGCTGTGGGCAAGCTAGAAGCCGAGACCTAAGTGGGCTTCACATGAGCTTTAAATGATGTTTCTGTTAATAAAGTGCAATTTTAGAAGATGCTTGTATTATACATTTAAAAAAAAAAAAGAGTAGGGAAGTCCTCTGTTCAGAACATCAGAAATGCCCCTAAGATGGGTAGGTCTGGGCAAACCTCAGTAATGCGCAGTGCAGGAAGTACAGGACCAGCTAAGTGTTGCTCGGTGACTATAGAGAACTATGGATAATCAGCAGGTTGGGACTTAGAAGAGAAAGGACAATAAGGAATGTACCCTTACTGTGTAGGTTATAGCATACAGTCTATTAGATTTCAAGTTCCTGGACCATGGGCTGATACATCTTTACTGCACACAGTGAACATCCAACTGAGAGTTTGGGGCACCTAAGTGACACCTTGCTACTACCAGCAGGTGCTGTCTTGGCCCTGGCTAAGGACTTACAGGGTCACTGGTAAGGGGGGGAGGCCAAATGTCCTGTTGAAGGACTGTTGGGAATTTGTTCTTTTTAAAAATGAATCCTTGTGCATTGCCTAATTCCAAAGCTGGCTCTGAGTTATTCCTATGGCTAGACCAGAATGCCCTTGTCTGTAGCAGTGCTTGAGACACAAACTTGCTTTTTTTCCAGTTAAAGACCTATGGACTATTTGTTAGTGCGCTGTTTTGCTGTGTTTAGAAACAACGTAACCTCTCCTCTGTGATACCCAGGGCTTCCTTGTTCCTCCACAGCTTTGCTTTAGGGGCGGGTGGCAAATGTTCATTTTGGATGAAGAAATTTCAACTTTTTAAACCTGTATTGTCCTTCCCCCCTCCCCCACCTCTAGGATCAGAATTCAGGCTGTCAATGAAATTGGAGTCGGACCATTTAGTCAGTTCATTAAGGCAAAAACTCGGCCGTTACCACCCTTGCCTCCCAGGCTGGAATGTGCCGCATCGGGTCCTCAGAGCCTGAAGCTGAAATGGGGAGACAGTAACTCCAAGACACATGCTGCTGATGACGTGGTGTACACGCTACAGTTGGAAGACAGGAACAAGAGGTGAGGTGGGGGGCATGCTGGCCCGGCACGTCACAGCGTTGGTGGTCATCTCATTCTCGCTGCTCCTCTGGAACCGTCTTCCCTGTTCCAAGACAGGGCTCAGCTGGCTCTGGCGTTTTACCCAGCACTGTGCCCTCTGTTCTCCTTCTGGAGTTCTTAAGCGTCTGAAAGCTCCTGACCTCCCTACATGACGATGGATGCGTGTTTTTCCCATTATAAAGTCAGTTGATGGAGAGAAATTATCAAAAGAGAAAATTGCCAGATTCAAGTCCCCACTGTATGATAACATTACATTAGTCACGAGCGCAGAGGAAAATAGGACCTGGGAGAAATGGTGCCTCTTTAAATATTCAGTAACCATCAGGACAAACATGTTTACCGGCCTGAGATGGCTGTGGGTGATGTACAGATGGGGACTGTCCTCTCTCCCTATGGGTGCTGTGATATCAAATTAACCAGATCAAACAAGAGTTTTCTTTCTTTATAAGACTCCATGCCCAGAAGACACTTGGAGATGTTGAAGTCAAATTAATCCAGGCTTTCACGTTGTCTTTACTTACATAACTTTGTTTCCTTAGAAAATGGCCAATCAGATGACAGGACCCAAATGATATTTAGGAATGACTAGATGCTGAGCAGAATATAATGGTGACACAATAGTCTGTTATCAAAGGCTCTGATCAGAATCAGGTCGATGGGAGGGTTACCATAAAACCAAGCCAGTGAGGACCACTAGGTATGTCCAACCTGTTTACACTATGATGTGATGTTGGTACACGAATGTGTTGGGCCACACACATAGCTACCACGGGACATGGGTGTGCTGCAGGTCTGACACACCTGGACTAGACAGAATGTTTCTGGAAACATGAACCCAGTGCTTCTATGGGGGGGTGCTTCTGCTGTATCCCTGTATCCCTTGCCGTATTCTGTTCTAGTACTTCCCTCCCACACACACATTCTCGCCCCACTGCTCTGTTCTCGGGAGGTTTGACTGGCATTCCTGCAGTGCGGTTCTGTTGGCATTCAGTGGAGACCAAGATCCAGAGAACTACCAGGAAGAAGACATCATAGCCATATACTGGGCTCCATGGAAACAGTATCGGGCCAGTGACAACCTGAGAGGCATTGAGTAGATGCTTGGCTGAGGAAAAAACCCTAAACCTGAGGCCAAGGAGACCCTGAGAAACTGGGGAAACAGATACTGTCATGTGCATCTAATATGCAGAGGTGGCAGGAAGGGCATAGAAAAGCACCTGGTGCTTCCTCCAGCTTCTTAGAGGTTGCAGAGGCGAGAGCTCGTCTGCCTAGAAATGTGTGAGGCCACGGTAAAGACAGACATTCAGCAGTCCAGGACACCCACAGTGCCCCTTTCGGCCTTCCTGTCTCATTCCGAATCTCATCACACAGCCTACCTACCCATTGGTAATGTCCCAGAGACACTGGGAGGCATGGGCACAAGCACTGCGGCAGGTGACAGCAATTTAAAGAAAAGTGGCCCTTGACCAGGAGGAAGGAGAACCAGGCAAAGAATACGGCTAAAGGAGAACCTGGGGAAACATAAAAGGTGGTCACTTAGACTAATGAGAGCAAGAAACAGGGAAGACGAAGCAGGGAGACAGTGGAGATAAAGATGGTGATGGTGATGGTTGGTACCAGCATAGTCTTGATAGTGTCTAAGAGGAAAGAGCTGAATTCTGGGGCTGCGTAAGGCATGCACAGTGCCTCATTCAGCACAGTAAATGGCTCTGAGGTGTCCTCAGGAGCCACTGGCATTCACCTCCCTGATACAAGAGAGGGTGTGGGAACCGGTGTGGAAATTGAAAGCAGGATCTTTGTACTCGGTACAGTTAGCTCAACCTGGGGATGGCAGTGTCCTCATGTTTATCTGTCTCCGGTGCAGCTTAACAAAGTAATGGTCCTGTTACATGAGTACCACTTGTGCTGGGGGGGAAAATGTGTTGTTGTTTGTTTGTTTGTTTGTTTGTTTGTTCAGAGTTACAGCTGTTTTGTTGACATCTGAGTGGAAGTAAGCACAATATTCATAAAAAGAGGTATAGGAGAGAGCTCATGAGTACAAAATAGTAACTCATGGAAAATCCTAGAACTTAGTGCCATGGGAGTTTGCACAGATTCCTCAGAGGTGATCCCATTTGAACGTGACCTTGACTGCCCAGGAAGACCAGGTAGGAAGAAAGTAAAGCAGCCTTGGAACCCTTGCCCGAAATGAAAGCACAGAGGCTGCTTTTGACAGGTTCCTCAGAGATCAAAAACATATTCTATATGCAAAAGCATTCATCTTGTTGAATATGTTTCTTTGGATCTGTTTCCATTGGACCATTATTCTACCTGGGAGGACATTCTCAGCCACAAAGGACTAGCAAGAACAAGCATTCTAAACTAACAAAAGTCAGGGTACACATGAGAGCCAGTATTAGGGGATCTTCCCGTTTTCTCCCAGGGCTTTGCTTCTTCTTGGCAATAGAAAGATCCTTTCCTGGGGATATTTTCCAGTTCCCCCAAAACACGGATCATAGCAGGGTTGACACTGTACTTTACATGTTCAGAGCCTGGACCATGAGGTTCCCTGATCCTCCGCAGGTCTGTCTTGTTGGGGCAGCCACCCACAGGTGCCTCATGTGGAAAACTCTGTCTGTATGTGGTGGTCTCACCATGGTCAAGAGTGGCGCCTTGGGACGGACCAAAAGTTCTAGAAGCATTTGTACAAGTGGCTGTCATGAGATACTTAAACATGACAGCAAAGTACTGCAGAAGCTAGAAGTCATAACAGGCTTGCTCCTTTGAGAGAAGAGAGAGGGACAGGAAGAAGGAGGGAGACTGAGACGCTGAGGCCCGCCTTGATCATCAAATAAATCACTTGCCTAAATAGAACTGGCAATTTAAGAAATCTGACCATTAGGAACAATATTTTTCTTAATTTTATGAGCTGGAGTCCAAATTTATCTTTTCTAAATTAAATTTGTCAGTGCTCTCAGAAAGTTATTAAAGTGATGTGAGTCCTGAGCATAATACATTCTTAGGCTATTTGTGGAATAGTTTTCCTGGGATTTAACAGGATGAGGACAGCCTGACTTTAGTTTGAAAATGACCTTCCTCAGTGTCTGGAAGTACGTGTTCACAAACGGCCCTTTGAATCCAAGCCTTTAGCCTCAGCTTTCCACTCATATCAAGGAGAAAACCCTGGGATTTGAATATGTCACAGCTCTGGGAACATAATCTGCCTGCTTCCTGCCTTCTTCTCTCCCCCTGCCTACCTCTCTCTTTCTTTGTCTTTGAGATAGTTCCATGTATCCCAAGCTGACCTCACTGTATAGCCAAGGATAACCCTAAATTCTGATCCTTCTGCCTCAACCCCCCCCAAGAGCTGAAATTCTAGGTATCTGTGCCACACTTGGCTTTATGCAATACTGAGGAGGTGGAGACAAGAAAATCCCTTGAGCTCACTACCCAGCAAGTCTAGCCTCCTCAGGTCCCAAGGACAGGCCCTGTGGCAAAGAAAGAACATTGACAGCTATCCCAAGGACAGTGCCATTGTTGACCTCTGACCTCCACATGCACCTACCCACACACCTGTACCGGTTTACACGCTCTCGCACATGTACACACGTACACATATGAAATGATTCAGGGACTCAAAAATACATTTTAAGCTTTCTGAAGGAAAATTCTGTGCATTGAGTGCAAGCAAGGTGCCAGGCACTAGGAACTTTATTTACAGTTAGTTCTTTGAATGAAAAGTGAAATGTATCCTCCCCCCCCCACCCTACCCCGTACTCACTCCCTTTCTTCTTCCCCATCTGGGCTCCTTTCCGGTAAGGAATCCTGCAGGTCAGCTTGGCCCAAAGCCTTACCATCAAGAATGTGTGCAGCTCACCAGACTTACTATGTTGAAAGTCCGTGTCCTCTTAGTCAGGATATTCACTTCCTGCGTATTCACGCTTTGGGTGTTCGCTTTGGGTGTGGAAGATTCCCGGTCCGTATTCCTGAAACAGCCTTACAGCTGTGCTTCCTACCTGGAGGAATTAAGTTTATACCTAGTGTTTAGGTATGATTATTCATCAAGCAAATTTGCGTCTTGAATTACTACTGTGTGCTAGGCCTCATGAGGTATGTGGCATATCTGGAAGAGCTGATCATGCTGAGAAAATGAATTAGCATTAAACAGTGGGCAGACAGTACGAGAGATTTTAATTTCAACAGAAAAGCAAAAATTGAATTAGTTTGGCCTTGCGGTGATTAGGTCTATTATTATTCTTAACAGATCCAGCAGAGAAGATCTGAACAGTTCGGGTTCCCAAGTAATGCAAGAAAAATACACACCCTGAGTAAACATTCCCATAAAGCCGAGCTAACCTAATACACGCACTAGAGTCACAGGACCAGCTCGTAGGCACCAGATCCTAGTGCTGTGCTGACAATTCAGAGAGATGCATTTGTCTGCGTTTCTGAAATGAAATGTTGCCCGTTGTAATGGGATTGGAGTTGACGTTGAGCCCGCCCCGCATCAGGCCGCGTTCTTGGTAATTGTGCACAGCACTGAGGCAGGGGATGGAGAGTTCCAGGAATGTATTTATGGTTAATCTGTTGCTCAGGGTTTTGATCAGACAGCCAGTGTTTTCCAGCGTGAGGCTCCAGAGAGACTGGGTCAGGGGAGAGCTAGCTAACGGAAAGAATGATCAGTGCTTTGTCCCCCTTGTCGCCCTTTGTAGCTGTCACACTTTCCCCAGTAGCTGTGGGCTGTGGAGCTGTATGACTCTTCTGCTTCTGATGCTACGAGCTGTTGATGCTTACTCCTCTCTCTCTCTCTCTCTCTCTCTCTCTCTCTCTCTCATATATATATACACACACACACACACACACACACACACAACACAAACTCCAAAAGAATACACCTTCATGAACTAAGGAAAGGGGCTAGAATGCATGAATGAACTGTCTCAGTTTTCTCTGTCACGGAGCAAAATCCCACTTCCATCCTC